TTCATACGAAACCCAAAGGAGTACGGGCATTGCTTAAAAAGATAAGAAAAAATTTTCCGAATCGAAGGCCTACTATGGTTAGGGTGCAGTCTTTTTGGTGCGTCTGGTAGTTCACTGTTACGACGACACGCGCGCACGGAGGAAAATGGGTGTTCCTGCACCGGACGTATAGGACTGACAGCGCCGTTTCGGGCGATGACGACGCCTGGATTCGTGCGTTCCCAAACTGTAGCGCTGTGCATCGGGCCTCGAGCTACCGGCCACCGCCTTCTCTGCCAAGAAAGATATCCGTTGTTGCTCGTTGGTACGCTGTCCAAATCCAGAAGGACGGCGACCGATATATTTATCTACAGCAAAATCACTGTGACATGTTCTCTTTTTTTTCCTCTTCTTGTTCAATGAATGTAAACTAGCCTCTTCAGTAGTTGTTGTTGTCTGTGGTTCTCTTTTCGGTCGTAAAGCTTCGATTAAAAATATCTGATTCATGTGCTAAGAGCCAGCGTACTTCAGTTGGACTGAAGTCCAATGTCATGTCACAAACTTGATGACCGAGGCTCGTGAGCATGGACGTCCCACCGCAACGAAGTCTATGATAGATCATACCAATTGTAGCAATTTCTGGGTATGATTTAGTCAGCCTAAGTAGAAGCGTCTGATAACAACGTTTATAGATAGCAGCAGATGAAATTTCCGGCCTATGAATCCCCCCATTCCACTACAAGTATCACACGACTAGCTGACAACCATCTTTTTGTATTTCTTCGAGTTTTGAAGCAAATTGTGCTCTTTTACAGACAATAATGAGTTGCTTTATTGTCAAACAAGACTGATAAAGCTGCGAACCATTACACATCCCGCTAGGCAGTTTCTCCTGCTTCTTCATTTTGCCTTGATCTGTGGAGGCGCTGAAATGACAAATTTTGCCTTGAAGAACTTGATGGGTTGGGAAAAGGGCTGTTGGGAGTTGGTAGAATTCGCCGACCATTGCTGATGGACTGATGGTATGTATCCTAATGATCTATGTCTTCTTTATACGTGCTATTATTTCTGGATCGTGCGTATTTTTCTTTCTGTTTTCAGAAAACAAAACTAGATTAAGATTTGCATTCTCGTAGAAACTGCAGGTTTTTATTCTTCTCTTTTCCATGGCTTAAGACAGTGCTCAGATATTTTTTACTACATAACTACTCGAATCTTCTGCTATCTTCCTTTTTCCGTGATAGTTCTTTTCTCTCTTTGCTTGTTTACATGGATGGGATAATTCTCTTTATTGCTCACTACGAAATTGGTCCGGTAGGGTCATCCAAAACAGATTGAAAAGTTTTTCAAATCACCTCAAACTCTAATCTCAGTCTGGGGGCATTATATTGACGGTTCTTTATTGAATCCACATTGGTGGTTACATGAAGAGCAAGTGATGATTTAGATGACTGATGATCAATATAGAATTAGGTCATCTTAGCAAAGCAAAAAAGACATCAGCTTTTTTATATGGTGCATGGACCCGCGCCACACTGTATGTTAAGGAAATTTGGATTTGGGTGATACTAAAAACTCAATGCTCTTTTATGCCTCCCATTGAAAATGGACCAAATGGAAGCATGTCACTGTCTTCATAAAATGGACCAGAGTGATATGCTTTTTTCTTAGTTAAAGAACTAACTATTTGGGCAGCCTAATGAAGACACTCTGTTAAATATTAGAAGCAAAGGAGCTAAAGCTCAGATTTAAATAGTTGCATCCAAGGGGAACAGACACATGACCGATTTTGTTCGGACGAAATGATAGATGTCATAACGCTGCTCAGGATACCATTTCTAGCTAGAAGTGCTATTAATAGGAGAAGCTTTTTCCTCCACGGCCTGAAATTCTAATAAAAAAAAAACATATTATATTACATTTAGAGCAAACTAGAAATCTCTTTTTACCTCACCGGATTAGCTATCAGTGTAAAGGAATTCGAGTTGTTGCTAAAATATTTGCATGAGGAAATTCTAGCACTTGTACCATGCACGTTTTTGTGAACATATACTAGTCAAATTTCAAGCTTCTTAGAAGAAGCTTGTAAAATTGGGTTTCAGCCACATTATGGAAATACAATAGCAAATGAGAAAGAATTTTCAAGTTCCTAAATGGTGGACGGTGACATAAATTACATCTTTTTATCATAAGAACTATGACATGATGTGAGAATCGCATGTTTGACTTTTTTTTTTTCTGTCACATAAAAAAAGAAATTGAAGTTGATGTTGGTGTTGGTGTACAAAAAGGAACAAAGTTGGATGGAAGACTAGGTGTAAATTACATACTTCCCGTATCTACCGTTTAAAGATATGTTGTTGGCATTGTGTAAAACGTAGTTTTGACAAAGAGAAGATGAGATATTACTAGTAGTCATCAACTCCTGGTGTTAGCTAGAGCAGTTAATGTCCATGCTTAACCATCCTCATAGCCTCCAACAGCTATGACCAAAACATCTTGTGAAAAGAGGTTGCAGTAACAATATGCAACTTGAAAAATATGAAAAGGAAAAGGTAACAGAAGTATGGTCTAAAAGGTCGGAGACTAAACTGTGGATGAATGTCTCTTGTCTATGCAAATAAATTAACGATTCTAAATCCACAACATTTACTTTCTTTCAACTGCAATTTGATGTTCCCACATGAGTTGCATTAATTTGATGCTATAAAATGGGATAGCTGAAAACCAAAGCATACTTGTATGCAAGTTCTGGACACTTATTCCTGCCCCTTATATGTAAAAACTTCAAAACAGCATCATGATGTTTCTTTCGAGTAAATTATGAGACATTGACATTGCGTCTTACCATAGGAAATCATATATTGTGCGTGTCTGGGATATTCATCGACAAAGTCAAAAGTCTAGCTTAGCTGTCGTAGTTCATGTGTGATACAAATTGATGATGCACAAATAAAAACCTGCACAACCCAGTCCTGCTAGCAGATGAAGATCGAGGCAGTATGTCTCGTAGGAAATAAATCTTATGAAAGGCTTGGACAAGAGTAAAATATTAAGAGGCATGCATATGATGAAGAAGAAAATATGAAGGCACATGTTAGAAAATTTTCGTAGATAAAGATTTAGATGATAGAAGAGAAAGATTTAAATGGTAGAAGAGTGAGTTGCATAAAAATTGAGCCTCCAGAAATAATGAATCTAAGTTTAAAACCTGTTCATATAATGTACAAGATTAGAAACTAATTTCTCACACAAGCCTGATCATACAAGTTATACTCCAACTTCTCATGACCATTGTTTTGTAAATGTATCAATATCAGGACATAGACAAACTGGCAATCACCTAAAGAAACACATTTGAGATGGTCCAGAAAAACAACAACTGTAGACTTGGTACTTTATTCTTATAATCCTACAGTATCAAAGATATCTTATGTTTCTTCTTCAAGATTTACTTCGAATATATGTATGTTTACGTATATTTCTCGTTAGTATCTTAAATTCCTGGCTTGAAAATCACCACCTCGATTTTCACCTCGAGGTCTGATACACAAGTTTTAGATGCCTCATCTTCAAGAAAGCAGCTTGTCCCTGCAGAATTTGGAGTTGGAAAGTGGCAACATGAATTCCCTAGTAAGGTATGCTGTACCTTTCACCCTTAAGGTACCAAAAAGTTAATTTGAAGTATACTATGGATGTAGAATGTTTATGTGCTTGTGGTGTTTAGGTGCAGAGTCGAGAGTAGTTGGTTTTCGCAGTTGGTTTCATATAATTCGCGCTTTCTCCATCTGCCTCACATTCTCCCATGTTCTTTTATTATTTCATCATCAAGTTTATTACATATTTTGGTAATGATTTCCAAATAAATTCTCTTTAACTTTGTCATATCTGTTTTTATTTCATTAGGCAAGCCTAGGGACAATATCCTCGATTAAGATGCCACCCAAACTAGAGAGTAGTTGACGGAAACCTCAACCACAAAGTCGTCAGGAGATATTGAGGTAAGAATAAATGATTTCTGTCATATCTCCTCTTTTTGAAGTATCTTACACAGTTAATTATCACACCAGAAAAGATAACTATCAAATTGGAGCACACGACTTGTGATATATCCACACACGGTGACATGAATTTGGTGGCAGACGTTAGGTGCTATATTGCAAAGCAAATTAAAGAAATTTGAATCAGTAAGAACCAACTTCCATATCTGTTAACTATGATTGAGTGAGTTACAAAAGTCCTAGTAGTAGTCACCCAAAAAAAAAAAAAGATATGATTGAAGATACAGAAAAATAAGCCTCCATCTTTTGGATTGACATTGGAAACGTGATCGAGTATATGGTCTTCTTTTCTGTTCTGGGAATGGTGGCTGAACGAATGATTGGTGGTCATACATACAATTGGAGACACAGTATTGTGCTAGAGAAACAAAGGACATAAGAAACCGATATCGTGATTTTAACAGCATTTGGATTCATGTGTTTGCCCACTAACAGAATGATGGTTGTTGTTAGATCAAAGATATCTCACTGTGAGAGTTCAGAAAGAATGAGAGGTTCCAAGTAAATAATCCAGGCCTATTCACGGTGGTATGAGACCGGATGATATAACAAAAAGACATGGTGCTTCATTCTTAATGATAGTGAAAGACCACTAATAGCTTGCTAATTACAGACTATTATGATTTTTTTTTTTATTTTTGCCATATGCTTAGAAGCACAATTTACCAAAAAAAGTCTTAAGCAAAGGTAACCTACGAGAGTGTCCGGCAAAAGAAAAAGAAAGGGGATAATTCAGCAAGCAAAGATCGAGTCATATGGAAGCCGTTCATTCTACTAGTCATATGTAGTTGAAGGCATGAGTGTGTGGTTACAGGGAGATAACTGAATATTAGTTGTAGTAGAAACATGTCCCTACTATAGAAAAGCAGTTCGAAATTAACGAAAAAAGGAACAGCACACAGATCAAAGTAGCAAAGAAGACGAAACAGAACTACAATGATAATTAAGGGGTTTGCGTTATTACAGATTCGGATAGCTGTCCGAGGCCACCAGCGATGTCGAGTACAAGGAAAGTGCGTCCACGTCCCACTGTTCTTCGAAGATGCCACCTGCGTGATTGATTGCCGTGGTATACTGGCTATTCTCAAAGACCGGAATCAGCACTGGTCCACCTATCATTGGGACTTCATAGGCTGCTGCTGTGTCGCTGGCTACGTTCAAGCACCAGTTCGGTGCGCAAGATTCGTCTTCCTCTATATTAGCAAACTCCATCAATGAGTTCATATTGTTCAAGCTTGTTTCTTCCTTGATGATATCCAAGGAAGTCATCCTTTGCTTCTCCCTCGTCCTCTCTTTTGCTCTCGCCCTTGCCTTGGCCCTCGACTCCCTCGCAAGCGCCGAGTGGTACTCCACCTTCCTCGTCGGCTTAACACCTCCTTTTCCGGCTTTGCTCTTATTTACTTCCCTGGCTGCAGCGGTCACGGTGGAGGACTTGTTCTTGGAACTCGAAATAGCGGACGAATCCTGGCATACCAAAGCGGATGATTCACTTTTCGGGCTTCGGTTGCTGCAACCGCTATGTTCGGCTGAGGAAAGGGTGCCGAGCTCTTCGATGGCAGCTTTGGACACGGTGAGCAGCCATTGCACTGTCTTGCTGGCCTTGTCGAAGCCGAGCGTGTCCTGTAGTCGGAAAAAGCTCCGTGCCACATCGATGGAGAGCCTCATCCTTCGATCCCTCGGCCCATTTGCGGTAACTATCTTGCTGTGCCTGCATTTGCTCAGAGCCCTTTTACGGCTACAACTGTCGTCGCCTTCCTGCCTCTCCACCGATGTGGCTGAATCACCGAGAGGAAGGCTTGGCCGAGTAGATGTTGGAGCCGCATTCGCGATGCCGATATTGGAGGAGGCTAAGAAGAGATCACGAAAGGCGTCGGGACAAAAGATTGTCGGAGTGGAGGAGGGGAAGCAGGAGCTGTTGGGAAGAAGAAGATGAGGAGGGTTGAACTCAAGTTGCTCGTTCAAAGACTGGTCAAAGATGTACTCGGGGTCACGGATCGGAAGCATTTTTCTGGTCTGCTAGGACGGGGAAGAAGAGATATTTGTTGAGAGGTAGAGGAAATCTATGAACTGCACCAAACCTTCTACCTTACGTGGTAGAAATGGGGGGGAGTAGTACTACAGTATGAGGCCTTTGCTTGATGGAGCTCAGGAACTGGACGCGGAACGTTTCACCTCGAATAGATTCTCTGTCTGAGCTTAAGAGCTAGCTATGTACAAGTAGGAGGAGCTAACAGAAAGGAATGGATAAGAGGAGGATGGAATCGAGCGGGGGAGATGGGAATACGGGGGAAGGAAGGAGAACCGGAGATGAGATGGGAGACGACGAGAAGAGTGTAGTAGGGTGCTTGAGAAAGAAGGAAGTGCTTGGTTGGCAGTTATTAGGAATGAGAAGGTGTCCTATCACTCACTATTCATCAAATAAGAGAACATGAGAGTGAGCGGATAAAGTGAGAGAGCAGCTAGCAACCAACATGTTGGATGAGTTGAAAGATGGGATGAAACAGACTTTTTACCACATTATACTCAATCTATCAAAGGCGCAATCGCTGAAACAAGTGTTGGATTAGATGGATTGGGGTTTAGGAGTTGGATAACGAAAAACGAACCATGTGTCTCGTCCGAGTGCAACAAGTTGGTTGGCTTCATTTTCATTTTGGTTGACGGTACCAACTTATGTCGACAGTCTGAATTCAGAAGGGTTAGGGTTAGGGTTAGGGTTTGGATCTAAGCCCTAAGGGATGATGTGATCCTAAAAGAAAATTTGGTTTTTGTATCTTTTGTCTATTAAATTGAACAGTACATTCAGTTAAGTACATTGCATCTCCTTTTGATCGTACGCGTGTCCTCATCCTGCAAAGCAATAGGGACAATTATTTCGCTCTATTAGCCCTGCCTATCCTCACCCCTCTGCAACCCTTCCCTCTCAATCCACCCTGACTTTGACTATTCATCTCTCTCTCTCTCTCAGCACTAAAGCGAGGTGTCCTTTTCTTGGCTTAACCGTGTACTCTTTTGCCGCCCCGCACAAAGTAAGTCTCTCTCTCTCTCTCTCTCTCTCTCTCTCTCTCGTCCCCCCCTCTCCCTCTCCCTCTCCCTCCTCCCTCTCCATAGTGGCCAATAGCGGAGGACAAGAATCGTTCCATCCATCTCGTTCGTACTGTACAACACTTCAAAAGTTTTTTCTCTTTGCTCGTGAACCGTGGGAAGCCAAAGTCTGAGGGGCCGGCACAAGGGCCAAATAAATCAAACATGCTCTCAAAAATGGCAGTAGCAGCATTCCGGTCATTCAAATGGTTCCCATGTTGTAGCCATGCCCTGCATCTTATCTTTCCATATGTACATGCCGCGTTTCTTCGTCCCCCTCACCCTTTGTCCTTATCCAAACCCTTTCCGCTTAGGCCCCCAATCATCGCCTCCCACTCATAGTTCCTTCTCCTGCGAGCCCGTGCACTTTGCCCGGTTCCACTTCGTAAGGATATGATTGGACGGAGAAGAAATGCAAGTATAGGGTGGCGCGTTCGTTGCCCACATATAATTGCTCCACATTGGAGGGGAGAAGTAGAGCTGCTTCGATGCTTACATTTATTAGCTTACTCTCCGGATCTATATGAGCATACTTGGGAGGGCCAATACCATCGAAGGAGCATTGTTAGCATTCCGTTAAATGTTTTAAGACGGTGGATATTATCTGTATGTATGTATGTATGTATGACTCTTACTGACTGGAGCTTGCCGCGAATGAGTGAGTTCCACTGCTTTCAATTCATCCTCGGACACCAACACACACGTCAGCTCATCTGTCGTGCTTAGTTAGATTCCTTGTGGAAGAGAACAACAAAGGGTGGACTACCAGGAGAAATGGACGCTGATCTAGTCTTGGCGGATCAGTGGGTCTCGTACTAACCCGCACTCGCCTTGTCCTTTTTAAGCCTACATGTCTCTTTATCTCCGTGGCATCACTTGCCTGATGTCTACGTCATACGATATATATATATATATATAATGTCGGAGCGGCCTTGAAGCCACATTGAGGGAGAAGGAGGGAAGAAAGCTAGCACGAGGAACAGTGTAGCGCAGAAGAAAATGCTAGCATGGAGTAAAATTTTGATTGATATCAAAAGTTATCCTCCCTGTAAATTGTACCTCGAGAAGGAAGAAACATGATGATGAGCTAAGAAGGAAAGGATTTCAATAAAGTTTACGTTAGGAAGGTATGAGAGACAACCTGATACAGACTAGGATTTAAATGGCTCCAGACGATCATGGGAAGTCAGTCCGAGAAAAAAAAAAGTAATCGTTTTGGCTTTCTCTATATAACACTAATACATAGTTATTGTTACCCAAACATATTGATTTTTTGCATCGTAAGATGCCCCATTGAAACTTGCATTTGGTTTTTTCTTTCTGTGGACCAAAATAATGTACGAAGAAAAGGAGGGTCAATTTCAGAACCTGTTTGAAGGAAGTTTTTTTGTTTTATGAATACGTATAGAGAGAGAGAAGGATCCAAAACTTACTTATATGCAACACTAATTGCATCTACCACTTCATTCCATCTAACCAACACCCTCTTTTATCCTGCCCGACACACAAAAGGTTCTAAAGAATTGGTCAGCCGTGGCCAATAACCAACCCTCCTATCTATCTATCTACACAACATTGCCTATGTCTTATTTCCTTTTTTGGCTAAGAAAATAATATTTGGATTTAGTTAGTTACACAACGCAGAGTGAGGAATCAATCTCATATCGACTCGAAAGGACGTGCAAACTCCGAAGCATATCATCAGGAAGATTTCTTCGGCTTGTAGCGATTGGCGGTGATGGATTGGGGCATATTCGAACCGGGAAACATCACCTGCAAATCCCAACAACCCCATGAGAAAGAATCAAATAAATACTACAAGTTAACCCCCAGCAAGGAAGATAAAAAGCTTAATTACGCTGAGGTTTTCCTGGACCGACTTGGGATGATGCCGCTTGGGACGGGACGGCAGCTTCTTTCCCGTGATCGCTTCGAAATCCGCCATTATCTCCTCCCTCGAGAGAGAGAACCGAAACCTCAGCGTCTTCCTCCTCTTTGCCGCCCTCTCCTCCTCCTCCTCCTCCTCCTCGGCTTGTCCTCTGGACCGCCGCCACCTTTCGTCCTCGGCGTGGCTCGTCGAAGCGACGGGACCCGCTGCCTTCGACCTCGTCGTCATCCTGATCGTCTTCTCCACCTTCGGCATGCTCGTCCCCGCCACAGCCTCCTGCGGCACCGTCGTGGCCATCGCAGCAGGAGCCTCAACCTTGCGCGCCGTGCCCAGCACCGCCTTCCATTTCTTTTCTTGATTGCAGCGTAGGAGGATGGAAGGCAACGGAGGAGGAGGAGGAGGAGGAGGAAGGGCATGGAGGGCGCTCGGTTGACGGCGTGCCTGAGACTGCGATGCCGGCTTCCTTGACTTCCCCATGCCGATACAGTAGAGCCGGCGGGATGGGGAGTGTCGTGCGGATAGATTTGGATATATAGGCAGGAGGAGTCCGAGCCAGTTTGGAATTTGGAGTTCCGGTGGAATCGGTTTGCGTTTGGTAGTTTGATACAGTTGTGACATCCCATTGTACATGTTATTATTCGACCGTACCGTCGAGCCATCGGGGCCCAATGAAGCATGCGGGCCCCATCCGCAAGGCCCACCAGTGTGCTTTCTGAAGGATCCGGTGACTGTCCGTGAGGCTAAGAATCTTAAAACAAAGTCGAATTCGGACGATTCCGAAGTTTTCGAGGCTCTTTGATGGCCTAGCGGAGTGCGGTAAGCGCACCCGAGACTATCGCTAACCGTCTCCGGACTAGAATAATCCGTAAATATGACACCCACGCTGTGTCCGGTAAGCGCACCGAGAAGCAATTGTATTCGCCATTTTTGTTTCCTTCGTTCGACGATGAGAAGCTTCGTCTCGAGACATCGCCGGTCGCGACCGTAATGACGTGTCATCATCATCTTGATGTGCCGTCGGAAGCAGCGGCGCGTCGGTGGAGCCTCCGAAAGATGGAGGTGTTGGGGCCGCGCAGGAGAGGGTGAGGAGACTCTTCGGTCGACTTACCGCTCTCTGCAGAATGGATGAAGAGCCTTAAATTTCAATTTTTTTTTTCCCCTTGGGAAATCGTCCGACATTCGAGTTCTTATTCTCACTGCGGCGACGACGACATTCCGTACACGTGGATAGCCTTATTTGTGCGGTGAACGGACTCTTCTGTAAGTTTACCGCAGTCCGCAAAGCGAACAAAGGGCCTCAAAAATAATTTTTTCTTACGAAATCGTCTAAAATTCGCCTTCTTAGTCTCACCCTCGGTGACCAGACTCGGCACTCGCGTGGACGATAAATAGAATCCATATCGTGATAAGATTGTTTGTACAGTTACCGCACGTTATCTCAAAAATTCAAAAATATTTGGACGAATTCTACAAAAAAAAAAATCGTCTTTTTTTTTATTTTGGAAAACATCATTATTTTTTATAATTTTTAAACAGCAATCCATTTTTGTCCCTTATAGTTAATTTTTTTTATATTGGTCGATCCAATGCAACTATACAAAATATTATAATATAATATTTTGATATATATTTTTTGTAAAATATATTATATTTACAGTGATAATTTCATAGTATTTTATTATTTTTATTAATACGAATTTAAAAAAGGGAGGAAGAAAAATAATAAGTAGCCGAAAGTATTTAGGTATTGGGTTAAAAAAATGATGTAAAAACTTTCTAAAAATAAGATAATTCTAAAAAAATCTAAATATATATATTTTTAAGGAATTTAACCAAAATAATTCTTTTTGGCTGTGTATTACAGAAATCATTAGAAACGTATAATTTAACAAACGTGAGGTTGATGATGCGGACGGACGAATCACGCGACCGTCCTCAATTTAGGGTTCCGATAACCGCAAGGAGTATAAGAAAGTACTAAGAGTTTGGCGACGTTTGGACGATTTCAATATTTCTGGACTCAATTGGTGTGCGGTAAAGTGTACCAGAAAACGTCCGTCCCTGTCGTTTCGTTGTTCGGGTTCCGCTCACCGGCCGTCAGGTTAAGAAACCGGACATCGAACGAATTTATTTTTTTTGGACGCCGGAGTAAGCGCACCGGACGGTGTCTGTATTCTCCTTTTTAACGGGTTCTGATCACCGCGAGTAAGTACAAGAAACCTAAATTCGGACGGATTTGGATCATTTTAATTTTTTTGGGGGCCCTTCTACGCCAACTGATGTCCGGTAAACTCACCGGAAATCATTCCTGACCTTTCCTCTTTTTGCCTTCGTATCACCACGCCACGTTCGTTTCGATCTCTGTTCATGCGTTTTCTTCTCCAAAATCTCTGATCATGATGTGTAAATCGATCGATCTAACATTCTGCTACCGGTGCGAGTAAGTTAATTCGTTCGGATGCATGCGGTGGAGAGGAGGATAAAATTTCAGATGGAAAGGGGTGAACGCACGCGCAGGGCGGGAGACACGGGGAAGAAGAAGAAGGTTAGTATAGTAGACTCTTCGGTAAACTTACCTTCCTCTACCTAGTGGGTAAAGAGCCTTAAAAATATTTTTTTTCTTGTGAAATCGTCCAACATTCGAGTACTTATTCTTAGGTTTGGTGACCAGACTCTATTCACGTGGACTGTCAATGATGTGACCTTCATTCTCGCCCCAACGGGTGACAAGAAGACTCTTTCGTAACCTTACCACTCCACAAATCGAACAAAGCACCTTTTTTTTTTCCTGCAAAATCGCTTAAAATTTGTATTCTTAGTCCCGAACGATGGTTAAGTGCATCAGCAAGGTTCCAGTAACCCAAGATTACGATAAGAAACGAAAAACTTTGATGATATCGAACGATTTCCTTTTTTTTGTTGACACTTTCAGACCCGACTGGTTTGCGGTAAGCGTCCCGTTAAGTGTCCGTATCTTAGTGTTTGTCGCCAAGTTCTGCTCACCGTAGGTGTGGATAAGAAGCTGAAATTTAGACGATTTGCAACCGTTTTATTTTTTTTTGGGGCCCTTTGACACCGGACTGATGCGGGGTAAACGCACCGAGAGTGCCCGTAACCTTGTTTTTATTTTCGGGTTCCGAGAACCATAGTTGAGCATAAGAGACTAAAATTCGAAATAGTTTTGGATTATTTTGTTTTTTTGGGATCACTTTGAAGCCAACGTATGTGCGGTAACCACACCGCAGATAATTTGGTGACCTTTTTGTTTTTGGTTTTTTGTTGCCAGTCGTTTTCACGTCGGGACAAGAGGGCGTGAAACTGTTCTCCTTCGGATCTCACCTTCGTTTCTCGACGGATGTTTTATTATATACACATTCCATGCTTCACGTGTTCGTTTGACCTCTCTGTTTAAGCATCGTCTTCTCCAAATTCCTTGCAGCACTGCCATCGCAAGTTGAATGACTACTGTGGTGTGGTGGGTTCCTTCTTCCGTAAAAATGCACATTCAACCACAAATTTCCAATTGCGAGAACGAGCTAAATTAAATAAAATAATAATAATAACAAAATTGTAAAGTTGCAAGTATTTGGAATCGACTAAATTATACACAATCAACCACAAATCTCCAATTGGTCAAAAAATATTAAACAATAATAACAAAATCATAAAGTTCAAAGTATTTGGAATCGACCAAATTATTATCTTTCTACATTTCTCGCAACGCAAACGAGGCTGTAATAACACACAGCCAAAGCAGCCAAATTGCCTTTGGCTATTTCAATTTTACATAAACAACAACAAGAGTATCAGATTACAAAACATGCTCCCTTGCACCTACCTACCGTTCTACCGTTCGGCTGCTGCTGCTGCTCTTCTTGGTAGAGAGTTTTTAGATGTCAGGCGGGCTCTACATTGCATGGGACAGTGTCCACCACAATTAGAAGACATAAATCGGAGTTCATACCCAATGTGCCCCGATCACATTTGAGGATGACAGATCCATCGAATTTTGATCGCTAAGGAGACCAGGAGCCTAATTAGACTTTTCTGTGAACTCGGTTCCGCATTTGTATGCACCACCGGTGGAGTGAGAGTAGAAACGCCGGAATATCTCAAACTTTAATGTCTCCTATTATCAACATGATTCCATGAGAAGTTTCGACGTACTTCTGGTCCTTCGTGTGAGCTCAAATGTCATATACAACAACAAGCATCAACCACAACACTACAACTAGAGCACTCTTGCATAGGATTTGGTGCCGATCAACTGCAAGATTATACAGTCACATAACAAGAAAGAGATCACATGAAAACATACTTGCATAGGATTTGGAGGAGCCACACAGGAGGACCATGAATATTTTGATGGATCACTTTCTCTTGAAAAAGACGATGAACAAGCCCGTAAACAACAGCCTACATAAATTTCAGGATTTCAGCACAGAAAGGTAGTTGCAAGGTAAGAGAATGTAGAACACGAAAAGGACTGATGTATTACATAGATGTGAAGAAAATTAAATGATGAGCATGTAATTAAACATATATTCACACATCTTGACGATAATGCTGGTGAGCAAAATGTTGAAGTTGATACTAATAGATAAGTAGCATGGCGTGATACGCATATCTAGTAGATACTAATAAATTCAAGAGTAGCTTTTACCTCTCAGATATTAGTTAGGCACCATGCAGCATGCAGACAGCGGTAAGGCTAGGCGAGCAAATTACCTCTGTGATTTAACATTAAAATCAGTGATTTCAATAAGCACTCGGGCGAGGCGAGGCGAAGCCCAAGCGCCTCGCTTCATGTCCAGGCGCTCGCCCGAGCCCGGGCGCTTCGGGCGAGCGCCTGGGTTAAACCAGGCAACGGAACTAGATTTTTAGGTCTGGTTGGTCTCCGGTGCCTTAGTTAGTTCAATCGAACCAACTAAATCACCGATATCATGCTCTCTTTCGCGATTTCCCCGACTTCCCCAACCCTAACACTCGCGATTTTACCGTCGAGATTTCTTCTCCGTTGTCGCTGCTCACTGCTGTCGCTGCCACTATCGCTGCTCGCAGCTACTGTTGCTACTCGCCGCTGCCACAATCGTTGCTCGCTGACTGCTCGCCGCTACCACAATCGTTGCTCGCCGACTGCTCGCCGCTACCACAATCGCTGCTCGTCGCTCGCCGCTGTTGTTGCCGCTCCCGCTGCCGCTCGCAGCTCCCGCTCCCACTCCCACTCCCACTCCCGCTGTCGCAGCCGCTCCCGCTCCCGCTCCAGCTACGGCTGTCGCTTGCTACCGTTGTCGTTGCCTCAGCAGCTTCGGTCTTCTCACACTCTTCTCACTATACTGTCAACAGTATATTAACAGTATGCTGCTAATTATATACTAATAATAGTATTTTTATTTATTAGATTACTAATATATTATTTTAATTTTAATACTATTAATTTTTATTTATTTAATATTATTTTTTATTTAAAAATAAAAATATACTATTATGATTTATTTATTTATTATGATTTTATACCTAATTTTCTTAATTTAATAGTATATTTTTATTCAATTATTTATATTTATTAATTATATTTTATATTTTTATATTTTAGTGTCTCGCTTCGCTCGGGCGAGCGCCTAGCGCTTTTTAAATCACTGATTAAAATATGATTAGAACAGAAAGAAGGTATCACGGAACACCTAATTTACTTGCTTTACTTTAGTATGAATCTAGTACATGAGTCAGCTTAGCAACACAGAACTCAAAATACTAGTTTCGAATCACATCACATTAATTCATAGGAACCGTTCAAAACAAATCAAAATGAAGAGAGAGAGAAAAAAAAAAAGAGACCATGTTGAATGAGGCAAATTTCTCACCTCTGAATGCTATTTTTTACAGCTCTAATCCCACAAGATCTATAAAATCGATGTTTCATATTCAAAGGCAACCCAAACAACCAAATAAAGATACAACATCTAGATACGCCGAAATTTGCAAAAAGCTTGACATCTAGAGCACACCAAAACAGCATCCGTTGGCTTTAGTATCAAACAAAAAGGAATGTCTCAGTAATTCTAATAAAAGAAGAATAGAGAAGTAATTGCTTTTTCAGGGACTTGTCCATTTGGGTAGGTGCAAGGATGGCACAAGACATAATTGTCCTTTTAAGTCTAAGAGCAGATAGAGTGGAACAAACATTCACTTGGGCAAATAAGAGGTACACGTGCTCATCTTGTCAGGAGGCAGTATCTCAATCTTTTTACCAAAGTCCAAACCTCAAACCAGTGGCAATAAGAGGTACACAAGAACTCATGTGTCACCCTTCTAGTTTTAATTTCTCCATTAAAACTGATGCATCCTTTTTGAGTTCCAATGACATTGCAGGGTTGGGATTCATCCTTAAAGACCAGTAGGGAAATCTGGCAGTTGCAGGGTGCAGAGCGATGAGAGTTCACTCAGTCTTGCCAGAAACTTGTGAGGTAATTTTGAAAACCCTTTGTTTTGCTATTGAAGGTGACTTTAGAAATATACGGATCCGATCAGACTCACTACAAACTGTGAAATTTCTCAATAGTTTTGAGGCTATGCCTTGGTATCGAGGAGCCCTCTAAGTGATTGTTTAGGTATCCTTATCTAAGTGCAGTTTTTTGTACAGAGAATGTAATAAGAAGGCACATTCTCTAGCCTGTTTTGCAAGACATGAGGATTTTTCTTGTACTTGGAATTGGTGACTTGTCCGATTACCATGACCTCACAAGCATTTTGTACTCTCACACTTATTTTTTAATATAGTGTTATCTTTTCAAAAAAAATAATAATAATAACAAGAAGTCAGAATGTCTGAAATATGTGTCAGTTAGATTGATCGTTTTCTTGGCATCGAGTTTCAAAATATGGTATAAATATAAATATTAATGACAGCATTAAACAAAATATCCAACAATGCCCACAGGGATGATCATCTCAAAAGCCAAAAGGGGAAGAAATGCAATTGTTCTGTTAGGAGCACGTTCAGCATGAAATGTATGGAAATCAATATGCAAAAAGTATGAGGTAGCGTACCAAAACTTAGGAAACAAAGAAGCCCATGATGAATCTATTACATGTTTAAACGAAAAAACGGTTGGTCCATCATCCACAAGACCACAAGAACCACTAGAAAGCACTTGCAGCCACAAGAATGACCGACTAAACTATCTTGCATTATCACCATGCACAGGTGCAATCACTAACCAACTAAAATAGAAGACAGTTCAGCATCCAAAATTTTGCTGCTATGACAGACTTCTTTCCATTGTCGGGAAACTTTGTTGCTACGACCAGAAATCACCAAGTTAAGAGCCCAATATGGGGCCATCCTATCAAACTTTGTTGCTACTGTCAAAGCTTTTACCAGCTAAGCTAAGCTCTCTGAGACCTTCATCCTACCACCACATTTACATGTTTACAAATAAATACTGTCCTTAAACCACAACAAAACCGACCATATCATTATGTTTCACATCTCATCCCGATGTGAAGAACCTAAGAGACCACACGTAATTTGCAGATGCTGTAGTTATCTTTGCAAGATTACTTATATAAAATTGCCAATGCAACATGGAGGAGGCTTATTAATGAACGGATACGTTGTCCCGCACAAGTCCCAAATTCGTTTCCGAAAACTACATCCTGATCCGGCCATGTTCTTCGGCCGACTCTGGTCGATCACAAACCGTCAGCACAGAGTCTGATCGGGCGGCCAATGATTTTCATGCGAATGCTCCATAAATAAATTTAAATTTAGAAAAAATAGGAACTAAATTAGTCAGAACATCCCGCCCCGCTTTCCCGATGTCCAATCGATGGCGGCACACAAAAAAAATGGAGTTTCTACCATCAAGATCGAAGAATCGCATCCGTTTCAAGAAAGAAATCCAAATAGGCGACCACAATCGGACGAGGAAGGAAGCGAGGGGCGACGAAATCAAGCGGGGTGAAAAAAAGAACTGACCAGGGAAGCGGGGGCGACGATCTTGATGGCGAGGAAGAGGAGGGAGGAGGCGGAGGACGACTCGTGCGGCCAGCGCGTGCGCCGCCTTAGTTCGATTTAACATCTCCTTGGAGAAGAATATTTTATTACACGTATCCAAACCCCCAACATTGAATTCGGGGGAGCACACGGGCCTCGATCTTCCGACTCGATCCAGGGCCGGGCCGAGCCGGGCCTCCCGATAACCCATTAGAAGAACCGAAGGGACCGATCGCTTTCATGCTAATCTCTTGAGGCCCGGCCCGGCCCGGCCCGGCCCTCACGCTAACCCATTAGAAGAACCAAAGGGACCCATCGTTTCATGCTAATCTCTTGACCAAAAGGTGTTGGGATACGAAGGTCAGCAGTGAGCTTTGGTACTCTGGATGCGCCCACGGAACAGCATAAAGACGGCGGGGGGGGCGCATGGTGCGGTCCATGTGTGTGCTGGTTCCACGAGCGATGTCCACGTCGCCCGTCTCTTTCGGCCGGTGCACTTAATCTCATCAGGAATCTCCATCCACCGGGAGCCATCCAAGAGAAGCCTGACCTCGAGTGGTGGGGTCACACGCTGACACGTCAAAACTGGGTGGGAGTCCCTCGTCTCCCGTTTCATTCTCCGGTTAGCAAGTCCTTTTCACGTAGAATGACTGACGGGTCCACGTTTAGTGGGCGAAGATGGTGATAAGTTACCTTTCCGGGAACCCACGGGGCCCAAGCGATAAGGATAGGATAACCCTCAAACATGCTCCCATTCTGGGACCTATCTAATTATTCATACCACCACTGTCACCTTCCCTCGACACACTAGTTGAAATGTCTGTCCCCTGCTCCGAGGAACAAAGTAGACCATGGTCACTTTCAGGTGCCATTGGGTATGTGCAAACCCTAGCAATCTAATACTAGGTCTTTCATGAATTTTCTAGTAAGGATGAAATAGAAATGCAACGTATTCTGCCGTCCCAGGACACCAAGTACCTCCAATGTCAATGTCAATGTCAATGCCTATGAATCCAATATTTTCTTAGTCATCGGAGGTGGTGATAAATACGGATGCAAACCATGAAAAAGAAAAAGCAAGAAACTAGATCGGAAAAGGTTGGCGGTGTGAGCTTGCACTGGTAGCTCCTCCATTTGATCACCGTGTCCAAGTAGATGTGGGTGGTTGCAATATCTTACGGCTCCCTTATCTGTGCGTGCCAAGTGTTCGATGGATCATTAAAAAAAGAATGTGGAAAGGAATCTCCAGACTCTGGGAAGATGCTTATCGGGATCCAAATCGTCTAACCTCACATGTCACATGCAGCTCGGCTGATAGGGTGCAGCTGTCCGGGATATGGTGAGAGCATGCATGCATCCCATATGCAGCCTTGCATTTTGCCCTCATCACCAGGCCCATGACTAGCCCTTTGCGAAATCGGTGACGGCCGGGTGCCTACACGACGGTGAAGCAAAAAAAATGAGCAGTAGCATTTAATCAAATAATGTAAGGAGAGGGAGAGGGAGAGAGAGGATGTGGTCAAACTTACGTTTGATAGGGATCGTGAAGCATTCGCATTTAATTATTCTTTGTCATTTAAATGTTTCCGGAGAGTGCGCCCAGCTTCGTCTCCTTGACGCTCATTGCTCCACGCCTGGAACCTGGTTTCAAGTATAAACAAAACTGCTTATGCTAGCAACTCTACGTTATTATGTATGTATGTATGTTTACTCCCGTATGGATGGCGATGGATGGAAAAGGCTATGTCCAAGTGATCCAATTTAGCCTTTCCAAACTTTGCTTTCTGCGCCCATCCCTCCACGTTCGTTCCATCAGCGAGTTGTAGGGGGGAAGAGTACGGGGGTCGGAGGGGGTGGGGACCGCGGTGCCCGAGGAATCTGGACACCTGGGACGACCACATGCCGCGCTGGAGCCGTTGCGTTCAAGTGGGGGTGCAGTTGGGAGTGACACGGCGTCGTGTAGGATAAAGCGCCGTGACTCCCTTCGCTTTGCTCTCCACGCCCGACCCGATTTAATATCCCTGCAACAACGGAATTTATTTTAAAAAATGATATTTTATTTTCATGAATTGAAAAAAAAATGAATTAGAAAAGCTTCTCCGTCCACCCATCGCCATCAGATAGAATAAAGAAAGTAATAAGCGATGACGGACCGGAACGCGACGGGGACGGAGGTCGTGGGAGGTCCGCCGAGGCTGGTTACCGATAGCCATCACGACGCCCCCGCCCCCCTCTGACAACCCGCAACGGGGATTCGCGGGAGATGACGGCGTTGCGACCCGTGAACGGGACCGCGAGCGTCAGGGAGGCCTAGCGCTGCGGCCCGTCTAGGGGGAGTGGGACCGGATGGGCAGCGCTGGCAGTCGAGGGGGAATGGGACCGGATGGGTAGTGGAGGTGGCCAGGGTCCCCACGGCGCATTTGCGTGTGACAATGACCGCTGGGCCCTCGCCCTCGTGTGTGGGTGCAGAGTTGGGTCCCTTACCTAAACCATCGCGTTCATCTTTCTGCGCTGCTGCAGCAGTCTGTTGTACCTCCATGCTGCACTGTTCCCTCCCTCTTACTCACGTGCCTCCCCCCTGCATAACACATCCATGAAAACAAAAAAAAAAACAATTATAATAAGAATCTCCCCTAATAATCAATTTCTATAATAATTGAAGGAAACACGTTTCAACAAATCTGAATTATTGGATATCGCTGCCTCCAAAGTGTTATGCTTGCTTTTAATTTTTTTTGCGTCATATATATATATATATATATATATATATATATATATATATATATATATATATATATATATATATATATATATATATATATTATT